ATGTGTCCGTTAACAGTGGGAAATAGAGCTGTTAATAGCGTTTCTATGGCTTGATCATTTTCATAGTTGCCATTCAATACAGTTGGTGAGGTCTCCTGACAGCAGCATCGCAGTCAGCTGATCTGCCAGAGGAACCGGAAGGCCTGTGCTCACTGAGGAAACTCAGCAGCGGCCACAGCTGGCGGACAGCACGTACTGCAGGGCAGGTCACTTCAAATAATGGCAGTGTGATTGTGGGTGAGTTTGATGCTCAGGTTCAAGGGCACTTCAGCAGGGCACCTGTTTGCGAACACATGAGTAGAGGGCCAGGGCCTCCAGATAAAGGAGGGTCTCAACAACTAGGCCACCCTCTACTTAAGGAAATCATGTGAATGTTATATAACAGTACATAGCTCAGTGAATGTCATAATAAGGATTTGTAGAATGGGGCTGACATTTCCATGTCACAGTCAATTTTACAAAAGCTGTATTTAGGTGGGACAACATTTTTATTTATTTTTAATTTAACCAAATTTCCTTACAAGATGTGATAAGAACTCCACCCCAGACTTGAGCGTCAGTCAAAATTCTAAGTGGATTATCGCCATATTAGAGAAGGAGACAGGCAATTTTGGATGCCAAGTCAGCAGCATTTGAGGTTTTAGAGTTACTAAATTTGGAAAAGCCGGGTCAGGTTTCCTGACTTTGGGTGTCTCCTGCACAGAAACTGAGGAAAACGCCCCCAAAGGGACATGTTTATAGTTCAGTGGGTCTGGGGTTCATTGTTTGGGACACAATGCTTGGTCTGCCTGGAGCCAACCCTCGACATCAAACGGCAGGGTGAGCTTGCCCATAGCTGGCTAGAGGCCAGTCTGTCGGGATGTTATCAGGACACACACACACACACACACACACACACCACAATCAGTCTGTCTGTGGAACGCAGGCTGCTGCTGAGAGTCTGGTGCGTGATCTCTTTATGTTCAATAAGAGAGAAAAGTGTTATTTTAGCAATAAATAGCACTGAATGGACAAATACTTATTTACTAATGTAATGTCATTCCCTCTCACGCACACCATTCAACAAATTCACAGTTTCCCACATATTTGTCCCAAAGGTGTGTTTACTGACTAAGGCCTGGAAGTGTTATAATGGAATAGAAGCATTAAAATAGCTAAGAAATCTTAAAACACTGCCATCACCTCTCCTCTTCCTCCATTTCTTTAGAAAACGCTCCCTGTTTTTCTTCTGGTGCTAAAACAATGAAGCACAACAACAACTTGTTGGTTGGCTCACTGGTGCGTTCCAGGAATGAAGGTCTCTCTAAATGCTTTGTATACACTGCCTCACAGTGCATATCACCTGTTTAATCTTTAAACTACCTGTTCTCTTGGACTACAGTGACTTACTGCTTCCAGTAATGCAGGCATAGAGTACACACATATATAAGGCTATGTATAGTATGTACATGTGAGAGTCAGCTGTGGAAGAAGTACTCAGATCTTTTAAGTAAAATAACACAATGCTTTGTTACAAGTAAAATTAGTACTTATTATGCCTAATGGCCCATTTCATATGAATATATATTGGATTACAATTATTGAAATCCTCCACAACAGTACAGCATCATATTTTACTTGTTGACTATAGTTGTTAATCTGAATATGCAAAGTAACTAATAACCAAATTTCTAAAATAAAAAGTACAACATTTCTCTATTAAATGTAGTGGATTACAAGCATAGAGTAGTAGCATAAAATGGAAAAACTCAAGTTAAATACAAATATCTCAAAATTGTACTCAAGTACAGTAAATGTGTAAATGTAGTTAGTTATTTTCCACCACTGGTTAGTGTGGATATATGTTGCGGTGTGTAAGATACATATGTAGTATATGTAGTCCATATCTGTGCAGGTAGACATCCACATACAGGAAGGGCATTCTCCTACACAACTTACTTGTAGAATATCTAAGAAACCATAATAAAAAACACTTTTCATACAGTATCATGCAGGGTCTATATTTAGTTTAATTGATGTGGTCTGATTCTCTCAGAAACAATGTACTTTTACAGTAAACCACATATAATGAACTACTGACAAAGAGTTATGTTATGAATTCATCATAATTACTTATTCTGCAATCTGTCTCGGCAGAAAGGAAACAAGGGTGAAATGTGCATCATTTTTTTAGATTGTGTTATTGTTTGACCATCATGGTATATCTGGCTGTATCTCTCCACTACTCTGACACCATTGTTAAGAATGACATGTCCTGGGAAAGCCCAGAGATAAAGCCAGATCCTTTTTGGTAGCATATCGTACAAACACAAATTGAACTACTTTACAGTCAATGTTCGGGTGTGTTGGGGAAGATTGCGTTGGATTTTCACAAGCGTAGCTGTAATAACTGTCAGAAAAGAAATGAACTGAAATTCATAGTGAGATTGCTTTTGCATATTTGTTACACTGAAGCCAGTTGCTTTATATTTCCCTGCTTAGCATTCAGATCAGTGTGAGGAAAAGTTTGTTTGGAGTTCCTTTTACTTAGCAACATTCTTTGGCAGAAAGAGCTGCTGAGTGACCGAACAACACTTACAACACCAGTGTGTTGCGTAAGACCAATTCATGATGGGTTTATCCAGTCACTTATGTCCACGTAATGAGTAAATCAATTACTGTAACTCAAATATGTAGATACTGTAGATTTATAGTTGTCTTATCTGGTCGTCATTTTGTTTATAATAAACATTTTATGCTTGAAAACAAAGAGGGCAATTAATTTAGTTGAATTTGCTGTTTCATTTTATGTTGCCTTTGCTGGAATCTGATGTTTATTCCTCTGACTGGAGACTTTTGGTCAGTCAGGGTTAATCTATGCTGGGTCTTTCTAAATCTGTCTGTTGATGTAATCTGTTTGCAATGTTTGCAAATAAGAATTCCTGCTGCACAATGCAGCCACTGGAGTATTTGCCCTCACAGTGGGTGGTACACATGTCCCGTTGTCGCATACCCAGTGGCTGCGGTGGCTATTATGATCCAAACAATGGAAATAAAACATTGTGCTTTACTGGAAGCCACTTTAGATGCTATGTGTGATTAGGCTTATATATACATAGTCTCATTTAGTGTCGGAGAAAACAGGCACAAAACACGGAACAGCTTTTGTGTTGCAGTCCGAGGAAAAGACATTGCCTCTTCAGCCTTCACAATGGCCTCTAAGCTGTAGTTTTATTAGTGAAACAAATGCTGCTATTGTTTATTTTTTCCTGAGGGCTGCTCAAAGCTCATTTAAATATCACAGTAAATTCACAACTGTTCTGGTTAGTTGGTAAAAAAACAACACATCATGCACTATTTGAGGTGGAACGATCAGCTTGATAAAGATGTAGGCAATCTTGCTTTGCTCGAATAGGTACATCTGGATAGACTAGGACTTTCTTTTTTTTTTTAATCCTAGAAAACACAACACGATGCAAAGTTTAGAAGTGAGAACATAATCGCTCTTATGTGCATTCCATACATATTTTGCTGCATTTTTGAGTTAATCAAAGACTGTACTGTAGGTCTCTGTCACTCTGTAACAATTCTTGAAAACTCAGAATCAAGGGAATGAGTGCCCAAAGACTAAACAGACACTACTGAAAATAGACTTTAATTCCAGGACACACACAAGTGGATCATTACAAAAAGATAATCTTAATGGTGAACTCCAATACGCATTTTCATAGATATATGTTCCAATAATACTAAAGAAATATGCAAAGAAATTATATTACAGATTACTAAAATTAGTAAATTAATATTGAATAAGAAAAATAAAATATGCAATAAAACCTCTAAAAACCACTGTATGACCACTGTGGAATTAGACATTGAATTTGGGATTTTATGCTCAGGTCTGCGTCTTTTAAGATCAAGATGATGTCAGTATGGATATGGAGTCAAAAAAAAAAGGCCCCAGAGAAAACACTTCCCTTCTGTTTAGTTAACAGTAGCAGAGCTTTCCTTGGCACCCTCCTCCTCCAGTGTTGAGGAGGGAGACATGCAAATTTATCTCCTTGGAAAAAACACGGCCCCAGACCCTGCATTTTCAGAGGCAGGCACAACTTCTCAAAGTCACAACAACAAAGGCAAAGGGACGGGGAAATCCAGTCTGAGCTTGAACTTGCTTGCTTGAAGCAAAAGACATGCACCCATCTATTTATTACTCATGGGACTGATGCTTTGCAACTGTTGACTTTGACTGCAAGGAAAAAAGGAAAATTCTGCTAACTTTATTGGACAGCATTTTGTCCTTATTACTGAGCCATGGGGAACACAATGAAGACATAACACAGGTAATTCTTGGACATTTTATACAGGTTAACTGTTTTAACATACTGTATATACAGGTTATTATAGATATAGCTTGTAGTCAACCAATCTGTGATTTTATTGCTGAAGATACATTTTAATCTCACGGTTTCTGGAATATTTCTGAATTATTCTGTGAATTGTATGGGGAAAAAAATATAACAACAAACTCATCTTTGGATTATTATTAATATCATTGAATTATATATTATTATTATTATTATTATATATCCTTATTATCATTATATGTTATTATCGCAAGTTAGAGCAAGGGTTAATTATTGTAATAATTTATGGCTTAATGAGTCAATGAATAAATGTTCCACATGTCATTTATTATCGTGTTGTAAAACTGAGGTCGTCGTCTTTGGGTTTGACAGCTCTAAACTCCGCCCATCTAAAATGTGTCAAACTCCCCATATTTAAGTAGAAGCAGACCGGAAAATATGTTTATATAATTTGTAATTCGGTAGTCATTTTAAAGAAGAATGAACATTTCCTTAAAAATACATTTATAAGATCAATATCTTATTTCAGTGTGGTTTTATTTCCACATTGGTGCTTTGTATTACTAAAAAAAGTTTCAATATGTTGGTTAATGTGGATTTTATTTTGATAATTGAACCGGATATTGTGGTGATTGCAGGGCATTGAACGGTACCGTGTGTCGGTCCGTCTCACTCGACCTCCACTGTTGCCTTCCGCTCGGTCGTGACAAATGATCCCTACTAGCTTTCATCGACAAACCCTCGGACGACAATAACTCGACCTAATCCACCACGTCCATGGCAGCTATCCTTTTCTCTCTTAGTAACCCCACCACTCTTTAAAAATTCCGCCTAAAAAGAAAAAGCGTTCTGTCCCCTCATTTGGGTTTTCAGCAGACGTAAGTAATCTTAGCTAACCGCGCTTTAGCCTGCTACTTAGCATGTTGTTATATTAACCTGGTAACTTAGCGTTCGTTTGCCAGCGAGCCATAAATGCTAACTTAGCCATAAGAGATTACAGATAAAGTAATGGTTAGTAGCATTATTAGCTACTGAAAAAAAAATGTGTTACTGATTTTTGTAAAACAATATTTAGCTTAGCTACACTGTGTGTTGCTAGGTAGCTGACGCTAATACCTTATGCTAACGTTACCAATGAATACAAAACTAACTTCACCTGTTACGATAGCGGGGTAGCTAACTTAGGTGTGTGGGTTTAAACTGGTAGCTGGCAGCTTGCTATTAGCGCAGTGAGTGCAAGGGTGTGAAAATACTGTTAGCTGTTGTGTTAACATGGTAATGTCAATCCATCCAAAACTGCTAACGCTAGTCATGATTGCGTCAGTGAAGTTTACTACGGACAATGGTCCAAACTAACTAACAACGGATCCATTTAAAAACAGCCATGACAGGAAAGGTGTGTGTTTGTTACTACGCACAAGGTAAACCATTAACAGTCATTTCTTAATACCACTCCCATGAACTCAACATTTTGCCTGCTCAGCTGCTCACCTGTTGTAACTTACTCAACCACTTTGGAGCTTTTTGTGCACAAACTGCATGTTGAGGTAGACTGGATCATATGTCAGCGGGGAAACAGTCGCTCTCCTTCTCAGAGATGTTAATCTGTCAGTGACTGATTCCTTTGTCCCCTATCCTAAAATGTCCCCTGCAGGTGTACAACAACTATCCCGAGGATCTAGGGGCAGCTCTATACCGAGAGCCATTTGACTTCAACGCCGAGCCACCTTGGGATCCTAGCTGATAGTGGAGGAGTTCATCCCAGGACTCATCCATGTGAGTACATTAGCTGTAAGAATGAATACGTCCTCTTTGATTGTTTGACTGACTATGTTTTCATAGTAGAAGTAATAAAACCGTTTCTTGCGTTTGTGTGTGTCTGTTTTAATGGACAAGTGTCATTGTTTATTAACTATTAATGAACTCCTGACAGAAGGACTAAAAAGGGTGTGTTAACAAGACGCGTGCTCCACATGAATCACAAACAGTTTCTAGTTATTTTAGATCATGCATTTCTGATCTATTTTCAGCACTCCTGTTGAACGCGGTGCTCTGGACTGCTTTTATCTGCAGTAGCTTTTCTCCTGCCCCAATTTAGTTGCAATAAGAGAGATGCATTAGGTTATAGATGGATATTAATTCTGCTAATAGTTACATCTTCTAAGTAGTTCTACTTTGTGTATATAATGCATTAATTATACTAACTGTAAATCCCATGAATGGCATCACTTCTTTCAAAAGTGAAACGTTATGTAAGTCATAGTTAAGCATCTTTAAAGTTATGTAACATCTTGGTTGATTTTTAAAGAGATGATTGGGTTGAGCCATCTCGCAGTCCATTTTTAACTCCTGTTCCTACAGAGGATTTAATAATTGAAGCCTATACAGTTTGGAAAATTTGCAACAATTAAATTTTCCTTTACAGTGAAAAGGGCTCTGCAAATGTACCCATGTCCGTCTGTCCATTATTCATGCACAATATCGCACTTTACAGGGTTTGGGGGAGCACTGACCAACACTGTAGACTTTGACCAACACCATTTGTAGTCTCATGTGGACTTGGTTTCAGTGTCTTGATCATCCGGTGATTTTACTTCCCTTGTACACGTCTGTCAGTGATTGCACTTTTTTGAAGCAGTAGCCGCTGCCTTGTCACAGTTGTCAGCAATATAGCAGGCGTTCTAGACACATTGTTGGTCTCCCTTTTTGACCTCCCAGTGCCACGGCCATGTCACATCTGCTCCAGTCCAGACTACTGCGCCTCTCTGATGTATTGTACATCATTATTGAAAGTGAAGTTGTGACACCAATGCCGCCAGTATTGTACCTTGTTTAATGCCATCAAAAAGAACCTTTACGGGTCACCAGCTCAGGGATTCATGGTGATTGTTGGGAGTAATTGATGGTAAAGTAAATGAACCCTGTGCCCCAGACTCTGTGTTTTCACAGCGGCTTTTCAGAAGAATAGGCCTCTTCCACAAAGCCGTCCTGTAACGTGGAGCCTGCTCTGTGCTCTGATTGGATGCTCACTGAAAATGACTTGTTTGATTGGGGATCTCATCAGAAAGGTTTAGGTTCCAGCCACTGAATAAACTAGAAGAGAGTTGGACAACATCAATGAGTAATTATCCAAATATGATTGAATTGTTATGCTTCTTGGGCTTTGTGTCATATGTGAACTTTGCTTTTTCTCTTGTACAGTTTGTTGCATAAGTCTAGGACCCCAGGGGCTCGAGAGGGAGCGAGCAAGACCACTTTGGACTAGCCACATTCTTTATGCCTGTCGGATTAGAAGAAAACGGTTGAGAGGATGAAAGGAATCACTGATGAACCACAGTATTCTGTCGGTCTACTGGAGGGAGGAACGGCCCTCTGTGACGTGATTGACAATCACATTTATGAACAAACTCTGGTAAGGGCTCTCACTGCAACAACATGTACATTTAGCACGTATTGCTAAACCTGAATTTCTTATGGTCTTAGAATTGCCTCAAACACCTGTTACTGTATTGTATTGTGTTGTTTATTACATGTGCTGTGGTTCCACACAGACGGTTGTGCAAAAGCTTGCAGTGTGTATTTCGTCTGACTCGACCGCATGTATGTTTCCTTCTTCCTCAGTCTGAGAAGAATGCATTCTTTGTAGCAGACCTGGGAATTATAATGAGGCAGCATGTTCGCTGGCGAACCCACATGGCCCAAATTCGACCCTACTACGCTGTTAGATGCAACAGCAGTCCAACTGTTATTGAAGTTCTTGCTGCCCTTGGCACTGGATTCATTTGCACCAACAAGGTACTCTCTCACAAGCATGGTCACTGTTGTCGGTTCAGGTTTCTCAACAGAAAAGAATCACATTTTCTACGTTTCCCATTTTACAAAGTAGTAATTGCATCCAGTAATGCACCACCCCTGTCTCTACCAGGGCAACTACTTGTACATTTATCGGGGTTAATATTGTACAACTCTTGGTCCACAAGCTGTAGAATAGACATATAGGCACCACCAAGTGGTCAGAGTACCTCAGTGCCGACCTTTTCAGAAATTGTTGATCATATATCCTGTCTGTAGTAAACCATGCAGGATGTATGATGAAATGTCTAGCCCACATACATTATATTTGTGTAATACTGTTCTGTCTTTGTCTCTTTGTATTTTAGTCTGAGCTTGAGCTAGTACAAAGCCACGGTATTCCCTCAGAAGACATCATCTACAGCGGTGTTTGCAAACAAGTCTCCCAGATTAAATACGCTGCTAAGAACGGCATTGACCTCCTGGTGTGTGATAATGAAGCGGAGCTTCGCAAGATTTCTCGCTGCCACCCCAATGCCAAGTAAGGGCTTGATGAGCATTAGTCCTAGTGTCAATGATCATGTGACTCATGACTCAAGCTGCTATTTCAACATTGTCAAGTAATTGGATTGGAGTCATTAAATGCTGTCCATCTTACGCTGTGTCTTAAAGTGTCTTGAAATACAGTGTGTTGTTTCCCACCGTCTGGCATATTAGGATTGCCATTATCAAAAGGCTTTCTGTCAAATCCGGCTGTATAAATTCATTTGGTCTGAGCTGCAGACATTTTGGGATATAATGTATCACCTTCTCAACTCATCTGGTTTCTTTTTTTCTCCGCAAACCAGTAACCAAGATCCTGTATTTAATTCAGGCTGCTGCTACAGGTTTCAACAGAAGCATCTAGCCAGGACGATGAGATGAGCATGACATTTGGCTGCTCCCTCAAGGACTGCAGGCATCTGCTGGAGAAGGCAAAGGAGTTGGGTGTGCAGGTGGTTGGAGTCAGGTGAGGCTTGCAGATATGCACTCTGAAGAAATACACATATTCTCAGCTCTCTCTTGAACAAATGACTTTAATTATTATTCAGTCCAACCTGCTACAGGATAGATTTTTTACTTATTGTGAAGATGTCACAGTTTGAAGATTAACCATGTCCTTTTCCTTGGCAGATCTCACATTTCCAGCTCCTGTAAGGATGACCAGGTGTACATCCATGCCATATCTGATGCCCGTTGTGTCTTTGATATGGGAGTAAGTAATGTTGATTATTATGTTGTTAGTTGCACTGTTCAGTTCTGTGATTCTGTGCTTTATGTTTTGGACACGTGCAACAGCTCTAGAAACTCTCACTTGGTAATCTCTGGTGTTTTGGTTACACATTTACAAGCCTTTGTCTGCCTCAGGAGGAAATTGGTTTCAACATGAAAATCCTAGATATCGGCAGTGGCTTCAGTGGCTCTGAGACGCAGCTGGAACTGGTCAGTATCTTTCTATCTGCTTTTTCAAAATGTCTTTTTTTAAAGACCTACCCTTTTTTGGTTCCTACTTTTTACCCCTGTCAACTCTTGCAGATCAATAGCACAGTCATGTCTATGGTGGACCTGTATTTCCCTTCTTCTACTGGAGTTTCCATCATTGCGGAGCCTGGCAGCTTCTTCGTGTCCTCTGCTTTCACTCTGGCTGTGAACGTCATCTCCAAGGAGGTGGTGGCACGTGATCGGCAGGACCAGGCACATGGTCAGTGGCATGATATTCATTTAGGTTATATATTCAAAATCTAGGACTAGGACTTATTTACTGGCAAGAAAACAGACTTAATATGGGCAAGTTTTATACAGCATGCTGCAGGGTCATGGGGAAGCCATTTTGAATGTCCAGGAATTGGCAACATTACAAGTGTAGAAATGTAATGCAGCTGTTGCATGAAAGATGCAGTATGTAAAGTCAATCCAACAGCCACAAACAGTAGCTACCATCTCTCTGAACAGATGATCCATCCCCCAACGATGAGCCAGAGTTCCAGTACTACATGAACGAGGGAGTGTATGGGTCATTTGCCAGCAAACTCTCTGAAACACTGATCGCTGCTCCATCTGTTCACAAGGTGAGTCTCAAACATTCTCTATGGGTCAAGATGTAACCACAAAACTTTACGTTCTCTTTGCTTCTCAATACTTTTGAGATACATTTATTTTATATTTGATTAATTACACACTTGTTAGTCACATTACATCCTAATAAGTAGGTGGATACATTTACGCACTGTAGAATAAGAATTATCTTAGATGCCACCATCTTCTGCTCTGAGCAGTAATAGGTTATGTAATCGGAGGGGAAGAAACACAGTTGTAGGAAACTTTATTTCATTGTTCTTAACTGGCTATGATATTCAGATCTGTCGACCTGTTATCATCTCCAGTTGATGAAGATCATTATGTGTTGGATTACTAAATAAATGATCTCTGCCCTGTATGTTAGCAGAACACGGCCCTGAATGCTCCAGTGTTTGGCAGCAGCCTGTGGGGTCCCTCTGGGGATGACCTGGACCAGGTAGTGGAGCACTGTCTGTTGCCTGAGCTCAACATCGGAGACTGGCTCATGTTTACCCAAGCAGGAGCATACAGTCTGGGTCAGCCCCTCTGCACCGCCACTGACTCCCCTTCACCCCCTGTATACTATGTCATCTCCTCTAGGGACTGGTAAGGACCTCCTTGGCGGAGTATTTTTAAACCTAGAGTGTGTTGCAAAGTTCCCAGATTAAAAGAAACCTTGAGAATGTTAAAAAAAAAATTTTGCAGATAGTGTCCTTGACTTTTCATTTTCCCCCACCAGGTTTGAGATGCAGGACACTGGTGTCACCCATGAGGCTACATTGAAGAACTTCTCATTGGTCCCTTATTTCCTCAATTCCTGCCAAACAGAGGCTGCCCTGTCTGTCCCAGCTTAGCAATCATCAGACCAGGAAGACTTTAACCTTTTCTTTACTGATTTCTGCTGCTAGCTTCCTCTGGCCTACATTCCACCGGGATGAACAGTGCAGATAATGCTTGAAATTGCTGGGACCAGACTGAATTCATCTCAAAACCCCAACGTAAAGTATTGTAAGTGATTAAACCCAGAAAACCCAAGTAGATGTTCATTTGTATGCAACAAAATGGATGAGCTCCGACAAGAGATGCATTCTTCCCTCTGCTTTGGGCATCCCATGGCACTATAGTTCACACTCATACAGTAGACATATAATTATTTTAAATGATTATATTTGACAAATGTATTATCTATATATTCAATGCTGTTGCCAGTCTTGTAAAGTAAGATATGTATCCCTGAGTGAAGCAGTGTATTTAAACAGAAACACAGTTCTGAGGTGTTGTAGGCTACTATGCTACAAGATGTGTATTTATGATTTTAATTGGTTGTATAGATTATTTTGTGTGATTTTTGATTTTATTATTACATTTCAAATCTGTCGTCCTTCTCAGTGTTTTTGAAATGGAAACTTGCATATGGAGGTGCATTTACTCATCTGTGTGATCAGTGTGCATGAAATCCACTCCTGGAACAATGATTAGTGCAGTCTGCCCTGGTGTGGTTGGGAAGCTAATGGTTCAGTGTTCACCAGTAAACTGGTGTTTCAGTGTTTTTCTAAAGAGCTGAGTAGCTCACTTGGACCAGCAGGTAGCTGCTATGCCACAACATAGCAAAGCAGGTTCATTACACAGCATGTGCCGCAGATGGAACAAGGGAAGTGTTGATGGATAATGAATCAGCTGACATGGAAATATGGGGACTTTTAAAAAAAAAAAAAAACATTTATAATGCTAGAACCCTTACTTTTTGCTCTCACTATTTGTACTGAATTTGTTTGAAAATGCTTTTTCAACATTTCTGACTGTGTTGGAAGAATATTATTTCCCAACTGTGGAAGTATACTTGCAAGGTATATCATATCTGTGAAATTTTCTCCCCATCTGTGTCTAAGGCATGATGACTCATCGGGCATTTGCCTGTTAAAAACATGTATCTGTGCTCAACATGTAATAAACACCTCATTAACTGGACTGTGAATCACTGTGTCTGTGTTTTATTATCAGTAACACCTTGCTGCCATTACACAGACCTGCTGACATAAACCACTTTTAGAAATGCTTCTTGTAACACGATTTCACCTAGTTCTCATCCTGGATGATGTGATCACAGGCTAAGAGGGATTTGGTTTGAAACTAACAGGTCAAAACAATGTACAGACTATGGAACAACACTAGTTAGTCTAACTCATTGTCATTGTATGTATGTAAAATAGGCTGGACAGACACTACACAAAAAAGCAAGGCCAAGACAAAATATGTGTTCAAGTTTAATAAAGAAATCTTTTTTTCCCTGCTGTGCATAATTAAATAGATTTTCATATGTCACAAAAGAACAATATTCAACATTCTTTGGTCAAATATCACTTAAAAGTAAACATATATTTACCATTCATTTGTAAAAGTGAATGTTGCTTACAGAACAGTATTCAGTGTAATTGCTCAGTTTAAGGTGATACAGTAGTTTGAATGTAAACAGCCTCATTACCTCGTTCATTTTCAACTATAATCACTAGGGAACAGCTCAGTAGCCAAGGCTTTACATGCTTCATTTTCAGTTCAGCAGCTGAATGGTGACGTGTAAAAATCAGGCACACACTCCCCTCTGTGCATTCTCTGAGACTCGAGTACAAAAGCCTCACATTCAGTCTCACAGTTTTCACTTTGGTGTCTCATCAGGACGCCTCGCACAGAGTTTGTTGAACGTAGAGTGTTGTGGAAGCTGTGTGGTCAGCAGACTGGGTGACCTCTAACGCCCAGCAGGGCGTCTTCCTCGCTGCTTGGTGTCGCCGGGCGTGCTTGGCCAGGTGGTCGCTACGCATGAAGCGGCTGAGGCACACAGCGCAGGCAAACCTTTTCTCCCCTGTGTGGGTGCGTCGATGGCGAGACAGCTCATCGGAGCGAGCGAACCGCCTCTCGCAGCCCTCCCACTTGCACTTGAAGGGCTTCTCACCTGTTGGAAGACAGACAATGAAGTCTTTTCATGCATGTGCCATATTTTTTGCAAGTGATGCTGACTTTTAGTTGCTTTGTTTGTTTTAGTATCCAGAAAAGTGCCCTATTAATAAAATGTATATACTTTCATCTCTTACCTGTATGTGTCCTCATGTGGGCCTTGAGGTGGGAGCTCTTGAAGTAAGTCTTGCTGCAGTCCTCACGGGGACAAACATGACTGCGTACGCGGGACACTTCTGGCTGCACTGGGCTTTGTCTTTGCTCCATCAAGGCAGGGCCAGGAGAGGGGGCGATGGCTGGTAGCTTGGCGCCACCAGGTGTCACCAGTGCTGGCTGGACGTAGAGTGTAGGAACTGCCGGCTGAGGGACAAAGAGCATTACGGGGCCTCTTGCCACCTGACCCCCTAGGAGGAAGACCTGAGCAGGAGGTGAAGCTGCTTGGGTTTGCTGTGGTGGTTTGTGTTTGTGCTGCTGTTGTGGCTGTGTGTGCATCAGCAGTGCTGATGGGATAGGTAGTAGTTGTTGTTTCTGACTCTCAGAGGCTGTAACAGGTTTTTGCACAACAGTGGTGGAAGGAGAGGAGACAGGAAGAATCTGGCAGTAGACAGGCACAGGAGAGACCCCAGGGCCACCAGCCGGGACAGAGGAGACAGCCCGAGGTGTGTTTGTTGTTTTATCATCCAGGCATATAGGACTCATCTGGGTCTGGCTGGCTAAAAATGCATGTGGCAAAGTCATAGTGACAGGTTTCTGTGGCGTGGCTGCATTAGAGTCACACTGTGTTACAATATTCCCTATTGAATCTCTGCCATTGAGCCTATCTTCAGAGCTCAGGTCTGTTTTAGAGTCTTTTGTATGAGTGAATCTGACTTCCCCGGAGACAGGATGGACCTTATAGGAGCAGCTCCGGCCATCTGAAGTGTGGCGGATTACACTGGTGCACTGGAATCGTTGCTGAGAAGCAGCAGCGTGTGTGTGCAGATGAGTCTCTTGTGTTGGCTGCCAGCTTAGACTTCCAGCTGCTGCTGAGGGCGGGTGGGTGGCCTCAAAGTGGGGAGGACTGTACGGCGGAGTCATACACTGAAAAGAAAGGAGGGTTTCACTGACAAATTCTATCTTGCAAAACAGGCATCTTATTTGAACTCACGGCTACAAACCCCACTCTTATCATACAGCCTTAATTTAATTTTAAGTTGTATGTGCATGTGTATTTGTGTATGTTTATGTATTATGTAAGTCTCATCAGTTTGTTCTTGTTACTTAACTTCAAATGTTCAGTATGTATGTATGTATGTATGTATGTATGTATGTATGTATGTATGTACTTGAATATTCCTGTTGTTTTTCATGGCTTCCTGTTTGCCTTTGTAAAGAACTTTGTAATTTGTTGAGTCCTACATAAATAAACATTATTATGATTATGATTTACAAATTTACTAGTATCTTAACACCTGGTGAGGCATTAAGTATGGGGTGAAGTCAGAGTTGATTAGAGATGACTTTACAGATATAAATGAAACTAAATGCAAGTAGTAGAGCATAAACATAAACATTTCCATATCCAACACCAGATTATGCAAAACCTCTGAGCCCATCTGTATCACTTACCAAAGGAGAGTCATGTAGCACAGTAGAACCAAGGGGGACAGAGTCGTCCTCTGAGCAGTCTGAGGACGGAGTCAGGGGTCTGGAGTGTCTGAAGCTCTTCCGGTGCTTAGTCATGGACATCAGAGCCTCCACAGCCTCCATATCACCTGCACCCAAAGGAGCGGGCTGGAATTCACACTGGATGTCTGAGTAGAGCTCCTGAACTTCCATGTTGCAACTCTAATAAAAGAGCATAATTGAGTATAAGACATCACCGCGGCCTGCTCTTTCATTTGATCTTCACCGTACATTTTCAACATGTGACACATTGCCGTCTTGTAATGAACTTTTCTTCAACAGACCAGCTGTAACCATGCTGGATTTAAAGCTGTGCATACAGTTAACCCTACACTGCGCACATTATGTAAGCCGACATACGCAGTCCACATGTCTCAGTGTGCTCAATCAATGCTTTAAAGCTTATTGGTTTTGCCATTAAGTCAACACATATATAAGAATATGCAAAGGAGCATGTGAAGTGAGCATGATCAGCTGTTGCTCTTCAGCACTGGGGACCTTTCACCTACTTCTCCGGGGGACAAAAGCACTAACTGTGCTGCTTACACAAACAGTCACACAATACTTAACAACCCCTCCCTGACCTTCCCAGCACATACACATCCACACACTGCAGACACACTCCTCAACAGCCATCCCTGATGAAGCCGCTGGTACATTGATGAACTCTGACCTAGATATAAGCTGGTCACACTAAAGCTTGACAACAATATTTGGAGATAAAACAAACAAAAGCAATTACACTATCTATTTATTATTAAATATATAAAAGCACGTCCTCCTAGAAGTTAAAGTACTCGTTATCAGAAGAAATAAATGTGCTATACTATTGAATATATAAAATAATATATATACTTACATCTTCTGTGAGTCTGTGTGAGGTGTTCAGGAACCTAGTTTAACTGCCGAGCACTGCTGGTCTCTTGTGTGAACACTTGAAACCAAAATTGTATGATTCCCAGTTTTCTCCTCAGGCGGGTTCCCATTCATCGTTTCAAACCCGGTGGGGAAAAGAGGGGCCTGGCTTAACGCCTCGGCCAATAGGAGGCAAAGGTGTGTTGGGCGCCGGCCAATGGGAGAGAGACTCGGTGCGTGATCGGGGCCTGACGGCTCCGTGGAGGCAGCGTGGTACACAACAGCATGGGCGTGTGAAAAACATTCCTGTCTACACTTCCCGTCACCCACCCTCCCCACAATACACACACACACCCACACACACACACACACACCATCATCGCCTTCTGGATGAGTCACTTCAGCCTCTTCATCAGCCCTAGCAGACACACACCTTCTATGACTAATCATGTTTTGGTGAGAGGACCTGGAAGACAACTCAGCGATAGGTGTAGGTTCTGAATATAGGTTACTCAAGATTTGATGTCTTTTTTTAAGCATTATGATTAAGTTTTAATATTTAACCATTTTACCAGAATTGTATCTAAATGTAGTAAAGGAAGGTCAAACTTTCTCTGCAAAAGTTTGTTAATTGACAAAATCATATGGGGTCCCATCTGTGCCAAAATTATGTCACATGTGCACGTCTAGGTTGACTGAACCAGTGTTTATTCAACTTTGAACTGTACCCAGAATTTGTCTCCAGGATTTTTATGAACTGGTTTAGACGTTTGGGCTGTAAATGATATTAAATCTGCAGTTCTGGAAGATGCAACTTGTGGATAATAAGTTTTTTTGTTTGCTCGTAATGTGTATTGTGGGAAGGTAACTTACTTATTTTCTTTTATTTGTGATTCTGTTGTTTTTTATTGTGCAAATAAATTAACCTAAAATCTAAATCTACATTTTTATTGGCTGATGGATCGCATCTGCTTTGATATCAGGTCACATACTGTATGAGGCCATTCCTACAGAGATGAAACGCCTCTAAGATTATAATAGTGTTGTAATAAAGTTCATTTATTTGGCAATTTCACAAAATACTTTAACAACCAAATGAAAGCAGACTAATGCAAAATGATAAATCACAACCATACAACAAGAAAAAAGGAACATGTATAATAGCAAAATAACCTGTATTTTAATCTTATTTTGGCCTACAACGGTTATGTGTTGCAATAGGAAGGGCTTCGATATTTTGCTCCTATCATTTTTAAACATTTTGAACTAAATTCATTGTGATTTGTCAGTAGCTTCACTATATGCATTACTTCTATGTGAGAGGAATTCATTTTGCTTTGAAAATCCATTTCTCATTGGTGAACTGGAAGAGGGATCGAACTGACGCCAAGTGACAACAGTTCTTGAAACTGATCTGACCTCACGTTCTTACCTGCATGAACTTTTTTTTTCTTTCTAATGTGACTGCTGTTCCAATTAGCAGGCTTCTTGTCCTTTGTGGCAGAGAGAGCAAGAGGTCAGCCAACAGGAGATGGCCTCAGGCAGCCCTGTGGATTAGGTAAGTGTCAGCTGTCTAGACCTTCCTGCACAGCACAGAGAACCAGAACAAAAGGCAGACTGTGGACACACAATGGAGAAATACACATGCAGACAAACACAACACTGTGACTGAGTCTGGCGCTGTGGGGTGTTCCTCAAAAGCATATCCAGGAATGAGCTGCTGGAAGAGAAAAGAGTCTCAGTGCAAGTGACATAAACAAATAATTCTGTGTTTTGTGTGTGTGTGTGTGTGTGTGTGTGTGTGTTTTACCATCAGTATCTCCTTAAATGTTTAATTTAACATTTTGAATCATCCTGGTTCTACCTTTAAACTGAAACAAGAAACAATTGTTCACACTTTTGTTCTGCTTTCTGAGAAAGTGCCTCTTATTACAATATGGGGCAGTTTATCCACTATTCAACAAGTATACTAGTGTGTATGAAAGATGATCTTTTTAAATAAATAAATAAAAATAAATTTAAAATAAATCCTCTTGGGAAAATTGTTAATGTTTTTGTAAGAAAACCCAATTCAGAGTGTTTTAGGACAGCTAACAGTTCAGAACTGAAACATTGTCATTCGTAAATTGATCATTTTGATATGTTAAATTGTTTTTATTTCTGTACCTACTGTATGTATGCTTATTTTCACATTCTTATATATTCTGTAAACCCACATGTCCATGTTATAATGTGCATTTTATTCATAAAGATGTTTTTCTTAAAGATACCAATACCATACTTAATGTATTATTTTTTCTATTTCCTTAACTTTTACTCTCTGTGCATCTTTGTAAAGCTGTAATCAAGACTTTGATCACTTTCTGTGTGTGTGTATGTCTGAGTGCTGAATTTACTGATGCATATGTATGATTACATGTTCTTTGTATTGTGTGACTGCAGCAATTAAGAGGCTATCCACCAATTTTACACATAAAAGTCAGGTTACTCATCATGGAGAGTACTGGCCTGTGAGACCAGCTGTGTCTTCTCTGGCTCTGCAGAAAGCTTTCTAAAGTGTAAGAAAAACCCTGCTGATGCTCATTGTCCCATTTAGGTAATTTTGGTTTGAACTAAAAATAGGTGTGAAATACAAATAAAAACTAACAAAAATAAAATAAATATACAGAAAATTTATTTTTTTTGTCAATTTGGTCAAATATGTACCAACAAGCATGAGGAGGCAATAGTACATATTGTTTATTGAGACTGGGACGTCTACATCATCATGACTGTGAGTCAATTGCTTTTACAATGTGCTATGTTTGTTTTGTAATAGGTATTCTGAATTTCTTAAATTCTTACCCCTGGCAAATAACCTCCATATTATAATGAAAAAACTCAAACTAATACTGAAACTGAAACAAATAAAAACAAAACATTTTCAAACAATAAAAACTAAACTGAAACAAGCAAACCCACTAACTGAAACTGAACAGCATTGAGAAGAACATCAAAAGAAACATCAAAAACGAAATAAAAATAAAGACTAATGAAAATTTTAGCCTCTGCTGCACTGATTCTGACCATTCTTTTTAAAATCTGTCTCTCTGCAGTCCTATAACCTTACAGAAGTGCAACATTAATTTGCTGGAGTGGTCCTTTAACTGATGTACCTCACTGAATCAGGGCTACAGCTTTTCAGCCCTTAGCCTTAATTGTAAGTTTTGGCATTTACATACATGGAAATGAAATGTGTCCTCTGCATTTCACCATCCTATCCACTATGAGCTCTGGGCAGCTGTGGGCACCAGTGGTGTAACGTCAGGTTCAGTGTCTTGCTCTTCGACATGTGGACAGGGGGGGCTGGGGAATTATACCACAAACCTTGTGGTTAGTGGACAACCCGCTTCACCAACATAGCTAAGCTAATCCTAACACTGACTAAGCTATTTCACCATAAATACATCACAACTTACTGCACGCTGGTGTCCTTTTTATTTATTTTTAGCCCCCACACCTAAAACAGCCTGAGACCACCACTGCTCTGTGGGTTTGTAGGTAGAAACGCCTTTCACATTACACAAATTTATTCAGTCTGTTGTCATCATAAAAATATCGATTTGTGGAAACATATTATTCATTTTGCAGAACTGTCTTTTATAGATAATGTGCAAAACAAAATTATGAAATTACCTCTGTTATAATGGTTTAGTCTAGCATGGTTTAGTCTTTTATCTACATTAAAAGGATTATCAAGCTCCTAACACTGCAGAGTGAGCAGCCATGGCACAAAATAACACATCGTGGGTCCTGTGCCATATTACTGGTCGGGTTGCCCTGGTTTTATAAGCATGACGCAATAGAGACCCAGATTCTTGGCCGGTGTTAAATAGTTACAATGGCCATGCTCTATTGAGCAGAACTTTACAACATCCTTGTGATATTGTGCAATGGACAAGTGGATTTTGTTAGAATCTAATGGCAGCATTTCCCCAGATGCTATAGCTTCCTACACAGTAGCAGCCAAAAAAGTGTTGAATGGCAAGTGAGACTAAGCGAACAAGGGCTCACTGTTTGCTTTTGCTTTTACAAAATTGGATGTTTGTCTCTCTCCAAAAAGTAAAAGCCTCTTAGAAGACAGCTCGTTACTCCTCTTTATTCCTTGTGTGCATGCAGGCCAGCATAATGCCCTTTAAACTGTGCAGCATCTGTGACTGACTGGGTGTTTGGAGCAGAGGGTTTTGTGCCTGAGGCCTGGACTGACCTGGTGTTAACCGGCAGAGTTGACCCTCATGGACGGTCCTGCCCTGGATCTGTAAAGATATGCCACAGACACCACTAAGGGGAGTTATTTTAAAAGTCTCCAGCCAGTGATCGTGTTACCTTACTGGGCATACCTTACACTTCTGGTTGTGGCCTGACTGACAGGAGCTGGTGCTGGTCCACTGATCTTTGAATGGATGTGGTTCAATAAGTTATCAGTTGTGGTGGTTTAGCTTTGGGTCTCTCTTGGTTTCTCTTGGTGGAAAATTCAGTTGCATAACAGCTCGTGAAGTAGAATATAGTATGCCTTGTATCCAAGTTGAAGGACTATTTAAGTGAAATTATTTTCTGCATGAATTTACTAATTTTCTCAATCTGCAAACCCACCAGCCTTCCTCTGATGACAGGGCAGTTTCCTGGCTCGGACTCTTTGTACCCATATTTAACAACACCAGAGGTCATTTGATAACCCAGTGCCCAATACTTAAAAATAGCTCAGGAGATATCTGGGGTTTTGTTTGACTTCATTCTTGAAAAAGGTTACAGAGTTGTTTTTTGCAGGGCAATGGAACTGGCTTCATTAACCTCTGTACTGAACTGAGTAAATACAAAGAAAAAAATCCTTAACGTGCGTCTCTGCTGATTAAATGACATGTGGCTTTTAAAATAAAATCAAATGAAAATATACAGTTTAATTCCAAATACTGATATCTGCAGTTTTGCCCATTGTGTCATCTTATTACTAATAACATTGACATTATTTTAACCTACTGTTGATGTCATTAGCTATCCAAAGAATACTGCTCACAACGAAAACGCATACCTCACAGAAGATACTATTATAGACATAAAATTGTTTAATAAAACTCTATTAGTGACATGCAGTTCATGTGATGTTTGTCTTTTTCTATTCTAGAT